CCCACGAGCATTGTGGTCCCACGAGCATTGTGGCCCCATGAGCATTGTGACCCCACGAGCATTGTGGTCCCACGAGCATTGTGGCCCCACGAGCATTGTGGTCCCACGAGCATTGTGGTCCCACGAGCATTGTGGTCCCACGAGCATTGTGGCCCCACGAGCATTGTGACCCCACGAGCATTGTGGTCCCACGAGCATTGTGGTCCCACGAGCATTGTGGTCCCACGAGCATTGTGGTCCCACGAGCATTGTGGTCCCACGAGCATTGTGGTCCCACGAGCATTGTGGTCCCACGAGCATTGTCGTCCCACGAGCATTGTGGTCCCACGAGCATTGTGGTCCCACGAGCATTGTGGTCCCACGAGCATTGTGGTCTCACGAGCATTGTGGCCCCACGAGCATTGTGGCCCCACGAGCATTGTGGCCCCACGAGCATTGTGGTCCCACGAGCATTGTGGTCCCACGAGCATTGTGGCCCCACGAGCATTGTGGTCCCACGAGCATTGTGGCCCCACGAGCATTGTGGTCCCACGAGCATTGTGGTCCCACGAGCATTGTGGTCCCACGAGCATTGTGGTCCCACGAGCATTGTGGTCCCACGAGCATTGTGGTCCCACGAGCATTGTATCCCCACGAGCATTGTATCCCCACGAGCATTGTGGTCCCACGAGCATTGTTTCCCCACGAGCATTGTGGTCCCACGAGCATTGTGGTCCCACGAGCATTGTATCCCCACGAGCATTGTGGTCCCACGAGCATTGTGGTCCCACGAGCATTTTGGTCCCACGAACATTGTGGTCCCACGAGCATTGTAGTCCCACGACCATTGTGGTCCCACGAGCATTGTGGTCCCACGAGCATTGTATCCCCACGAGCATTGTATCCCCACGAGCATTGTGGTCCCACGAGTATTGTGGCCCCACGAGCATTGTGGTCCCACGAGCATTGTGGTCCCACGAGCATTGTGGTCCCACGAGCATTGTATCCCCACGAGCATTGTATCCCCACGAGCATTGTGGTCCCACGAGTATTGTGGCCCCACGAGCATTGTGGTCCCACGAGCATTGTGGTCCCACGAGCATTGTGGCCCCATGAGCATTGTGGCCCCACGACCATTGTGGCCCCACGAGCATTGTTGTCCCACGAGCATTGTTGTCTCACGAGCATTTTGGTTCCACGAGCATTATATCCCCACGAGCATTGTGGCCCCACGAGCATTGAGGTCCCACGAGCATTGTGGTCCTACGAGCATTGTGGCCCCACGAGCATTGTGGTACTACGAGCATTGTGGTACTACGAGCATTGTGGCCCCACGAGCATTGTGGCCCCACGAGCATTGTGGTCCTACGAGCATTGTGGCCCCACGAGCATTGTGTCCTCACGAGCATTGTGGCCCCACGAGCTTTGTGGTCCCACGAGCATTGTGTCCCCACTAGCATTGTGGCCCCACGAGCATTGTGGTCCTACGAGCATTGTGGCCCCACGAGCATTGTGGCCCCACGAGCTTTGTGGTCCCACGAGCATTGTGTCCCCACTAGCATTGTGGCCCCACGAGCATTGTGGCCCCACGAGCATTGTGGCCCCACGAGCATTGTGGCCCCACGAGCATTGTGTCCCCACAAGCACTGTGGTCCCACGAACATTGTGGCCTAACAAGCATTGTGGTCCCACGAGCATTGTGGCCCCACGAGCATTGTGTCCTCACGAGCATTGTGGCCCCACGAGCTTTGTGGTCTCACGAGCATTGTATCCCCACGAGCATTGTGGCCCCACGAGCATTGTGTCCCCACGAGCATTGTGGCCCCACGAGCATTGTGGTACTACGAGCATTGTGGCCCCACGAGCATTGTGGCCCCACGAGAATTGTGGTCCTACGAGCATTGTGGCCCCACGAGCATTGTGTCCTCACGAGCATTGTGGCCCCACGAGCATTGTGTCCCCACGAGCATTGTGGCCCCACGAGCATTGTGGCCCCACGAGAATTGTAGTCCTACGAGCATTGTGGCCCCACGAGCATTGTGTCCTCACGAGCATTGTGGCCCCACGAGCATTGTGGCCCCACGAGCATTGTGTCCCCACGAGCATTGTGGCCCTACGAGCATTGTGGTACTACGAGCATTGTGGCCCCACGAGCATTGTGTCCCCACGAGCATTGTGGTCCCACGAGCATTGTGGTACTACGAGCATTGTGGCCCCACGAGCATTGTGGCCCCACGAGAATTGTGGTCCTACGAGCATTGTGGCCCCACGAGCATTTTGTTCTCACGAGCATTGTGGCCCCACGAGCATTGTGGTCCCACGACCATTGTGGCCCCACGAGCATTGTGGCCGCACGAGCATTGTATCTCCTCAAGCATTGTGGTCCCACGAGCATTGTGGCCCCACGAGCATTGTGGCCCCACGAGCATTGTGGGCCCCATGAGCTTTGTGGCCCCACGAGCATTGTGTCCTCACGAGCATTGTGGCCCCATGAGCTTTGTGGCCCCACGAGCATTGTGGTCCCACGAGCATTGTGGTCCCACGAGCATTGTGTCCTCACGAGCATTGTGTCCTCACGAGCATTGTGGCCCCACGAGCATTGTGGTCCCACGAACACAGGGGCCCCACGAGCATTATGGCCCCACGAACACAGGGGCCCACCGAGCATTATGGCCCCACGAACACGTGGGCCCCACGAGCATTGTGGCTCCACGAACACAGGGGCCCCACGAGCATTGTGGCCCGGCGAACACAGGGGCCCACCGAGCATTAGGGGCCCCCACAAGCACAGGGGCCCCCACGAGCACAGGGGCCCCCACGAGCACTGTGGCCCCCACGAGCACAGGCGCACCACGAGCACAGGGGCCCCCACGAGTATTGGGGCCCCACGAGCATTGTGGCCCACTCGAGCACAGGGTCCCCCACGAGCTCAGGGCCCCCACGAGCCCTGTGGCCCCTACGAGTATTGTGGCCTCCACGAGCACAGAGGCCCCTCACGAGCATTGGGGCCCCCACGAGCACAGATGCCCCCAGGAGCACAAGGGGCCCCCGCAAGCACAGGGGGGGGGCCCCCACGGGCATTGGGGCCCCGTGAGAATTGTGGTCCCCACGAACAAAGGGGGCCCCCACGAGCATTGGGGCCCCTACGAGCACAGGGCCCCACGAGCATTGGGGCCTCCACGAGCACAGGGGCCCCCATGAGCACAGGATCCCTACGAGCACAGGGGCCCCACGAGCACAGGGGGCCCCATGAGCACAGGGGGGCCCCCACGAGCACAGGGGCCCCACGAGCACAGGAGCCTTACGAGCACAGGGTCCCCCACGAGCACAGGGGCCCCACGAGCACAGGAGCCCTACGAGCACAGGGGCCCCCACGAGCATTGGGGCCTCCACGTGCACAGGGGGCCCCCACGAGCACAGGGGGCCCCCACGAGCACAGGGGGCCCCCACGATCACAGGGTCCCACGAGCAATGGAGCCCCTCGAGCACAGGGGGCCCCCACGAGCACATGGGCCCCACAAGCATAAGGGGCCCCACAAGCACAGGGACCCCCACGAGCACAGGGGCCCCCACGAGCACAGGGGCCCCCACGAGCACAGGGGCCCCAACAAGCACAGGGGCCCCTCGAGCACAGGGGCCTCCACGAGCACAGGGGGCCCCCACGAGCACAGGGGCCCCCACGAGCACAGGGGCTCCCACGAGCACAGGGGCCCCAACGAGCACAGGGGCCCCAACGAGCACAGGGGCCCCAACGAGCGCAGGGGCCCCTCGAGCACAGGGGCCCCCCACGAGAAAAGGGTCCCACGAGCACATGGGCCCCATGAGCATTGGGGTCCCCACAAGCACAGGGGCCCACACGAGTACAGGGGCCCTCACGAGCATATGGGCTTCACGAGCACTGGGGCCCCCCACGAGCACAGGAGCCCTACGAGCACATTGGCCCCACGAGCACAGGGAGCCCCCACGAGCACAGGGGGCTCCCACGAGCACAGGGGGCTCCCACGAGCACAAGAGCCCCCCACGAGCATAAGGGCAACCTGAGCACAGGGGGCCTCCCACGAGCTTAGGGACCCCACGAGCACAGGAGGCCCCGCGAGCACAGGGGACCCTCACGTTTATAGGGCCCCACGAGCACAGGGGCCCCACGAGCATAGGGGCCCACGAGCACAGGGACCCCACGAGCATTGGGGCTCCATGCGTATAGGGGCCCCACGAGCACAGGGTCCCCACGAGCATAGGAGCCCCTACGACCAAAGGGGTCCCACGAGTATTAGGGCCCCCACGAGCGCAGCGGGCCCACGAGCACAAGGGCCCCCACGAGCATAGGGGCCTCCACGAGCACAGGGGCTCCCCCTCGAGCATGGGGTCCCCCACGAGCACAGGGGCCCCCACGAGCACAGGGGCCCCCACGAGCTTAGGCCGACGAGCACAGGGGCCCCACGAGCACAGGGACCCCCACGGGCATTGGGGCCCCACGAGCATAGGGTCCCCCACGAGCATTGAGGCCCCACGAGCATTGGGGGCCCCACGAGCATAGAGTCCCCCACGAGCATAGGGTCCCCCACGAGCATTGAGGCCCCACGAGCATTGGGGGCCCCACGAGCACAGAGGCCCCTCGAGCATTGGGGCCCCACGAGCATAGGGTCCCACCGAGCATTGGGGCCCTACGAGCATTGGGGCCCGAGGAGCATATGGGCCCCACGGGCATTGAGGCCCCACGAGCATTGGGGCCCCACGAGTATAGAACATGTTAATTATAGAAACAGAATGTTTAAATATTTAGGTGTGGATGCAAGCACACTTATATAATATAACCCTACGTCCTGGTCTGGGACTAAATACTGAATATTTAAGATAAGTATTTCCGGTGAATGCAGGAATGAAACATAATGTTTTGATTGAAGCAGAAAAGAGGAAGAGAACTGCGAAGAGAGAGAAAGAAGAAGAGGTGAAGGAGAAAATAGGAAAACTTCCAAAATTAACATCTTGGCCCAAAACAAGTGCAACGACGGCCACTTATACTATTCTTTATCATCCACATCCGCATCCACTCCTGCAATGTCAGCCACTAGTACTGTTCCTTCAGGTATAGCATCCACATCCGCATCCACTCCTGCAATGTCAGCCACTAGTACTGTTCCTTCAGGTATAACATCCACATCAACATCCACTCCTGCAATGTCAGCCACTAGTACTGTTCCTTCAGGTATAGCATCCACATCCGCATCCACTCCTGCAATGTCAGCCACTAGTACTGTTCCTTCAGGTATAGCATCCACATCCGCATCCACTCCTGCAATGTCAGCCACTAGTACTGTTCCTTCAGGTATAGCATCCACATCCGCATCCACTCCTGCAATGTCAGCCACTAGTACTGTTCCTTCAGATATAGCATCCACATCAACATCCACTACTGCTACCAATCATCCAGTTTCAGCAGACATACCATCATTGCCTGTTGCTGCAGCTGGTGACAATTGGCACGAGGAAATACCCAAATCTGTAACAGTAAAAGAGTTTGCAACCCAAGAGACTGATGCAGGACTACGGAACATTAATGACACTAACACAACAGATCACTGGAGTCATAGTGGGCCCTCATCATGTTAGTATGATGGAAGCAACCTTTCAAACTCTCGTAGAGTGTAAAAAACAGCTGGAGTAGAGAATATGAAGGCAAGGTATTTATCAAACAATGTGTTCAAACGTGAACTGCGGAATGGCCAGTTTGTAAAACGTGAATGGCTGCTCTATTCACCACCCCAAGGTCGTTTGTACTGCTTTACATGTCGCCTATTGTCCAAGAAAGCACCTCCCTTTGCTACATGGGGGGTTCAATGACTGGCAGCACAGCAATGTTATTGTAGAATATGAAAATGGAGAAGAACATCGACAGTGCATGACAGCATATTTGATAAGGCATAAAGAAACTGGAAGTGTAGATTCTTCATTACTTGAGCAACACCGCTCAGAGCAGGAATGTTGGCATCAAGTGTTGACACGTATGATGTCTGTAATTCGCGCCCTTGCCTCTAGAGGTTTACGATTTCGTGGAGAAAATCAGATTGTTGGGTCAGCAAACATAGGGAACTATTTAGGTACACTAGAGCTGCTGAGTGAGTTTAACCCTTTCTTGGAAGATCATCTCAAAATGTATGAAAATCATGGAAAATGGAATCCGTCATATTTATCTGCAAATATTTGAGAGGAATTAATTTAATTAATGGGACAACAGTTCTTTATACTATTCTTGAAGTAAGAGTCAAGTATTATTCATTAAGAATAGATTCCACTCCAGAT